TTTTTTTTTTTTTTTGCAATTGAGGAATACAGGAAAGGGGTGGAAGAGAGAGAGAAAGAAACAAAAAAGGAGAAGAAAAGAAAAAATCCCTCTGTAGAAAAGAATAAAATATACGGCCCCGAAAGTGCCTCTAGTCTGACTGTGCTGTCAATGTCGATGTTAACATTCGGGGTGGTTAGGGCGAAAAGGAAAACCTGAAGAAATATCCTGCAGAGACAAAGATACAGTGACTTCCCGCAGCGAACCTGATTCAGGAGAACATCAAGGAGTCTCTAAGGACGGAAACACCAGCCTCTCAGTCTGAGAATTCTTGCTGGTTATTCCCCCTTTTTGAGTTCACTTTTACTGTAGTGCTCACCTACTCAGAGTTTCTAAGCATGCAGATATTAAAGCACGTTCCAGCGTTGTCTGGGGCTTTACGGAAGACACACAGAAGGCTGTCCGGCTGGGCCTGGCTTATGACTATAGCCCTGGTCTCCAGTATCTGAGAAGTGAAGAACCATAACTATCACCTCCTCAGGGCCCCTTTGCAGACTGTCTGCCATCCTTACCTCCAGGAAGAACTCTAGCATGCGCCCTGTGAGTTCCCTGCTCCCGTGTCTTGAACCAATTTGCCTGGTCTCATGCTGGGGGCAGCATCTCACACACAAGGTGACTGGTCTCCAGGGAGCTCCCCCTGCTTGTGGACAGCAAGGCCGTGGGAGCCTGGCAGAACAGCTTGGAGAATAAAGTCACTGTAGTGGGTTGGGGAGGCCACCTGACTTTATGAGAGAGTGGCAGGTGCAACAGTGGGCCTTTTATTTTACGCCTTTCCCTGAATCCTGAGCGCTGCTGGCAAACAGTACTGGTTAGACTCACTCTGAAAGAAGGCCCAGGCCAGGGTTTGCAGACTGAGGGTTGGAGTGGGTTTCAGCTCATGAGCTATTTTTAGTATTTCCAAAGGCAAGATGAAAAAGACACATTTGCTCAAAAGCTTTTCAGGTAGAGAAAATGCCATGTTCTTTTTTGTTTTTTTTCTTTTCTCCAAACTGAATCATGAGAATTATGTGAGAGAAGGGGGAAGGGGAACTTGCTTTGGTTGAATTCCCACTATGTGCCAACCCTGTTGGATATGTATTACTTTCACCACTTTTTAAAACGAGGAAATAGAGATTCAAAGAAGTTGAATGACTTATCCTGGGTCACACGGCTTATTATAGAACTTCATACATACAATTTGTCTGACTCCAGAGCCCTGCTCCTTTATACCCTGTTTCCTCAGCCCTTTCTGCAGCTTGGACTGGAGGCTGATATGGATTTGATTTAAAAACAGGAAAATACTTAATAGATGTTTGGTAGAATAATCTTTCAAAATACAGAATCCATGGAGAAGGAGGAAATCAAAGACGATGTAATGCTTAAAATGTTGGATGTTGCCATAAGGTGCCTTTATGTGGCATCATAGAGCAGGGTTTCCTGAGATGCAGTTCCACTGGGAGGGGAGTGGAGGGTGTTAGGAAGGACTGAGGAACTGGGGGAGTGAGAAAAAAAATGACCCACATGATCAGTGGTGGTGCCTATAATCTGACTCTGATCTCTCCAGAGAGGGCCTCATACCCTATAATTCTGTAGCAGCAACATGTACATCTGAACTGCATTGATAATTCTGGAAGAATCTCCAAGCAACCACAAGTTAATAGACATCATCCGTGCACAAAGCTGTGTTTGAGGCTCTAAACTCTGCCAAGAACTGTGGTCATTTGCAACATTTGGTTGTTCCAAAGTTCAACACATATTTGCTGTGGGAAAAGAGTGCATCAAGGGCTTAGAAAGTAAGATGTAAACAAGCTAGGCACCAAGGCCGAGAGAGAGAGAGAATTCCATGGGTGGTGGCAGGGGTGAGCAGGAAGGATGTGATAGGAGCCAGCCAGGGACAGATGCAGGGACACTCTGTTTCTGTACTGAGGCCTGAAGTCGCCATTTCTGTCAGAATGTTCTGCTTTTCGGTACCATCATTTTTAGGAGACATATATGCCCCATAGGCTCTGAGAGAGGGGTGCACGTATGAAGTGCCCCAGAAGTCTATAGGAAGGAGTGAGCAGCTGGGCCTCCCCCCACCGCACCGGGCTGGCAGGTCAAAAGCCCCTGTGAGACTCATCTTTGCATCTCGGACAGTTCCCTGGCAGGGCCCACTGAATATCCCCAGAAAACACATGAAAGACAGAGAAATGGGAGAAAACATTTATGGATCCTTTGGGCAACTTCAAATGATGAAAGGCTCCATCCTCCATGAGCTATCACGATAAATCAGGAAAATGATTTATCAATTATTTTATCCATCATCTTATTCCCTAACAGTATTCAACTATCTTTTATTATTAAGACTCATTAAAATGTAAAAAGGGTGGTATGATTTTTATACTACAAAGGTGTCCCACAAGTCACCCCTAAAGTCATCATACGCAAGGAAAATGGGAAATTGTGGCTAAACGGACCTTTACACCGCAGGGATGTCAGACGTTTTTTCTTTTCTGATGCACATTAGAAGAATCAAAGTTGTTGGGCCACACAGTAAATACACAAACACTAACGAAAGAGGATGAGCAAAACAAAGTCCATACATATTTTTTGTGGTGTCTGACACTACAGATAAGCAAAAAAGATTCCTCACATGCAGCCCATAGCTGCAGGTTGGATGCCCCTGCTTCACAGTATTTACAACATATTTATTACAACATTTCACAAGGTATTTATAAAATATTCTCTACATATGAGCCACCTCTTTGTAAAATTTTGTAATGAATATTTTGTAAAGAAAGGTATATTTAGCTATCATTTCTCATTTTCCCGCTGTACAGTGACTTTACATACGCTGACTTCAGGGATATCCTATAGTATAATATGCAAATGTAGTGCTCCCTTGATCTGTCTTTGAACTTAAGTTCATAAGTCTTAAACTTCTGCCTGATGGCAAAAGACTGAACTTTCCGATGCCATGTCATTGAGGCATAGAGTTTAAAAGCCAGCAGTTTGAGATGTAAAGTCAGGGACTTCGAGCTTCTTCCCCTTTCCCTTTGTTTTAACTGCCTCCTCTTTGTCTTGCTGGGGAGAGAGGCTCCTCCCCGGGGTGATGGGGATGGCTGTGCACACACACCCCATCCTGGACAGATGGCATCTGTTTATTTGCAGGGGGAAGAGAACATTATAGGTCACACAGGCAGGGCCACTTAGAGTGAACAGGCAGGGACTAGGGGAGGCAGGCTTTGTAATACTGGGAGCGTGAAGCTCCCCAGGCCCCACAGGAGGGTGTGACTGCTATATTTGAACCATTCTGTGGTCTGGCAGGAGCTGCACCTGCTCCCTGTGATAAGGAGGGTTGTTAGACCAGGAGACCTTATCCGTGGGAGCAAAGTTGGTGGGGGCTTGTGGCTAGGCCATTCCTGGCTCTCCCAATTTTTTCAGCTATCAAGGCAGCACGTAATATTAAACCTTAAGTTTAGGCATCAAACTACATCCTTCTCCATTCCTCTCAGAGGTGATGGAAGTTCCTGGGGGTGCTTGTGAATCATCCTGGCAGTCCAGGAGGAACAGCCTTCTTACCCTTCTCTGTTGTGGCTTAGTGGGTCCACGCTCAGGCCACTTCTGCTTGGCCCCCTGTTCAGCACCCTCTGGGATACCCACTGTGGGGGCTCAAGAACTGCCAGGGCTCTCTCCCCTCTTTGAGAGTCTGCTCGTCTCTGGGAGGCCACCTTAGTCCCGTCAGTGCCAACGTCGCCCTCAGCCATGCTTACCTCCTTCTCTTTGGTGTCTGCCGTCTGTGGGCTCAAGCCAGTCCTGGAGGATCTAGGCAAAAGGTGATTCTGCTCTTCAATACCCTTCCCACAACTTATCCTGCATCTGCATCTTTCCTTAGGCACCCACTACAACTAAGCTCTAGAAGTAGTCTTCCCTTGCTTGTTAAACTCTGCTTTCCTTTGGGCAAGAAAATCGTTCTAATTTATCATGCATACTTCCTTCTCTCTGACTTAACGGTATACATTTCATGCTCTAGTCTTTGGGGTTTGTGGTTCTTACTATACAAAGCCAAGTTTCGTTCAAAACAAAACAAAAATTTTTCTCTCCCAAACACCAAGGAGGTTTAAAACTTACAACCTGGTTTACATATCAAGGACTGTCATTTCAGTTATTGGTCTTCAAATAATCAATTCAACAAACAACTGGTATCTTTTCATCTAGTGCTACAGCTGTGCTGTGCAATTCAGTAGCCCAGAGGGCTATTAGAGTTGAGTAATATTTATTTAAATAAAATCAAATTTAAAATTCAATCCCTCAGTCACAGTAGTCCATCTCAACAGCGACATATGGCCAGTGGCCACCATATTGGACAGTGCAAATATGGGACATTTCCACCATCGCAGAAAGGCCTGTGGGACGAGGCCAGTCTAGAGTACCTCAACCTTCCCCTGGAGGCTGTGTGTAAAGAGGAGTCGAGAGGATGTGGCTGAGGAAGAAACCTCTTAGCATCTCAAAGTGGTATCTTGTTTCAGGAACTTGGATAGAAGTTTTGAGCTTTAGAAGCCTAAGGGACTGCTTTTAATGTCATGTCCTCCCATATTTTGGTAGGAGAATATTTCTGGCAGCTGGAAACATTCCTGCCTACCAGTCAGTCACAGACAGCATGTACCATGGGCTGCCCGGGCTGAGCAACGCCCTCCAGAAAAGCATTTTTGCTTCGCAGCTCAGCCTTCCCCAGCCACTGGATGCACGGAGCCTCCAGGTATGTTTGGCAGGTATTTTTTACACTTCCAAAAGTGAGTAGGGGGTGTTTTCACTTTGTTTCCCTTTGGTTTAAATTTTGCAGGAGTTCTCAGCGCTTTAAGGCCCTCAGGGTGGGCCCCAGGGCCAGCTGTTTGCTAGAGTCTTTGCCTCCAAATGCTCAACAGGCTGATCTGGGCAACAGCTTGTCTGCTCACAGCTGGTAGCAAAATGAACACTTAATCTTTTCCATTTAATAAATAATCATGATGGCAATTATAATACATAAATTACATCAGCAGCTGAGTTTTAAATAGCCCTGTTTATGGCACGTTATTGAACTTAGTGCTGTCAAGTATGCTTGCTCCTAGGCAGAAATAATATCCCCACCTTCTATAGCTAAAGAGATGACGGTCAGAAAAGCAGACATTAGACGACTGGAAAGTCACAGTAGCATCAAACCACAAACGATATTCGTCATCTATTGTTACATAACAAATTACCCTCAAATTTAGCAGATGAGAACAATGACATCCATCATCTCACATAGTTTCTGAGGATCAGGGATCTGAGAGGAGCTCAGGTGGGTAGTTCTGGCTCAGGATCTCCCACAAGGCTGCAGCCTGGGTACCGGTGAGGGCTGTAAGCATCTCAGAGCTCAATTGGAGGGCGATCTGCTTCCAAGCCTGTTAATGTGGCTGTGGGTAGGCAAGAGAAGATCCACTTCCAAGCCTATTCACCCAGGCTTCTCCACAGAGCTTCCCTACAACCTGGTGGATGGCTTCCCCAGAGCAAATACCATGTTTCTCCGAAAATAAGACCTACCCCAAAAATAAGCCCTAGCAGGATTTCTATGCATTTGTTAAATATAAGCCCTACCCTGGTAATAAGACCTAGTGATGGGTGTGGCTATGCAGCGTATCTGCATAGCCATGCCATGCATTTCAGCGTGGAGAGAAGACATCCCCTGAAAATAAGCCCTAGTGTATCTTTTTGAGAAAAAGTAAATAGAAGACAGTGTCTTATTTTCAGGAAAACACGGGTAATCCAAGAGAGAGAACCCAAGATGAAAGTCAATCTTCTTCTTACCAAATTTCAGAAGTGACATCTCAACACTTCTGACATGGTTTGTTTATTAGAAGTCAGTCTCTAAGTCCAGCCCATCAAGAATTAAGCTCCATCTCTTTTCAGGAAAAGTATCAGTTATATAAAACCACCTGACAATCACAGGTCTTTTGCCTCTGAAATCTGCAACTTAATGTTCTTAGTCATAAAACTAAGCCAAGTAATACCAGGATCAACCCCAAGAAAGTCCACATTTCTGCTTTCATTGGCCCAAGGCTGACCATCATTTAGACCCAGAAGACAGGGTTGGATGGCGACCTTTGCTCCCTGCAGCTACCTGTGGTTATTGCCTGGGGTCAGGTGGATGCAGAATCCTGGCTCCCAGCTATCAGATCAACTCCAACTCCAGAAATTGACAAAAGCCAGAACAGGTTGGGAAGTGTGGAATGGGGTGAGTTAGGCAGGCCCGCTAGTCCCAGGGCTGCCTCAGCTGTTGTGGTCAGTGGACAGTGATGTGGACCTAGAATTGGAGCACAGTGGTGATAAAAGACAACTTTTTAAGGTCCTAGGAGAGCATTTGAGTAAGTTTATTTTTACTGATTACGAATATGTCCTATTTGTGTGACACTCTTTTGGAACTTCTGAACACTTGTACTGATTAATGACACCAAAACCTTAAGTACTCTTGTCTTTCACTATCTGCAGGAAAAAAAAAAAATCTAAAAAAATAGATTATTACTCTCTCCTCTACCTCACTAGGGATTATCCATCAAGAAATATTTCCAGGCTGGGCATTAGGGCTCATGCCTGTAATCCCAAGACTCTGGGAGGCTAAGGTGGGTGGGTTGCTTGAGTTCAGGAGTTGAGACCCCATGTCTAAAAATAGCTGGGTGCTGTGATAAGCACCTGTGACAGCTACCCGGGAGGCTAAGGCAAAAGCAACTCTTGAGCCCAAGAGTTTGAGGTTGCTGTGAGCTATAACCCCTGGGACAACAGAGTGAAAAAAAAAGAAGAAATATTTCCAAATAAATCATCCAATATGTTTTGGGGTGCAGACATGAATATCCTATTCATATAGAGATGTCTAGTCCTTATGAACACAGTACAGCATTACCACGTTTATCATTTGGTTCTTTTAGGCATTTGTGCTGTTCCCTTGGAGAGCATCTCTGGAAGATGCAGGACCATTCCCAGTTATGAGCAGCAGCCCGGATACCCTGGAATATAACATGCAGGTAGGCTAGATCATCCTCATTATTTCAGGGAGAACTGAAAGCAGACTGCAAAGCAGGGTGTCACTGAGTCCTCAGGTCAGATCCTCCATACTCTCCCCGGTGATGAATAACTTGTGAGATAAGCAGGGTGTTTGGTGATGAAGCTGTAAACCTGGTGCCACAGGTAAGTCCTGTTGTCTTAAGACAAAAAGAATCATGGCTCAGCTGCTCTCAGCCTCGGCTGTAGCGTAGACTCAGCTGAAGTTCAGGAGTAGTGGTCTGGGAGGTTGGCTGTCCACCTCTGGTCACCCTCTTGGCCTTTTAGGGATACACTCAGGCTGGCAGCTCAGAGGCAAGTGACTCCTGATCCATCTGCAGGCTGTGATGGGAAGGGAACTTTTTTCTTTTTTTTGTAGAGACAGAGTCTTACTTTGTCACCCTCCGTAGAGTGCCGTGGCATCACACAGCTCACAGCAACCTCCAACTCCTGGGTTTAGGCGATTCTCTTGCCTCATCCTCCAGAGTAGCTGGGACTATAGGCGCCACCACAATGCCCAGCTATTTTTTTATTGCAGTTTGGCCAGGCCTGGGTTTGAATCCGTCACCCTCGGTACATGGGGCCAGCGCCCTACCCACTGAGCCACAGGTGCTGCCCGGAAGGGAACTTTTTAAACTGAACTCATAAGGAAAATTTTTTTTTTTTATGTTTTGTCTTCCAATTTTAACATCTTTTAATTCTTTTAAGTTACTAGTTTTAATTATATGTTTCCCCCTGATTGTGTAAGTAAATATTGTTGTATTTTATTTTTAAAAAATAGAAAATAAAGAAGAGTGCTAAGAGCAATTAAAAAATTAACCATAAATTTGCTTTAAAATAGTATGGAGGTGGGGAATGAATGGGGTGGCCATAGGAGGATGGTTTTGGGGGGCGGGTGCTGAGTGATGGAAACTTTTGTTTGCTTCTATTTGTTCAAAAGTCACTGTAAGCACCAAGGTTTTTTTTTAAGTGAAATAGGAAAGGCAGTTTCAAAAAAAAATGAATGATAGTTCCACCACTAAGAGACAATTACCGGTCCCATTTGGGTTTTTCCCCTAGTATTTTCCCTATGTATGTGTGTGTGTATCTGTACTCTTAAAGGAAAATTGATATCACACTATTCATTCACTGTGTATAGATCTTCTGTGAGGGCTGGGAAACTTGGTTCTGCTGTATAAAGCCAAAAATCGGATACGGTCAAGCTAGAAATGTTACTCTGGCTTTTGTAGACGTCCTAGTAGTTGAGAGGGTGAGGCTTACAAATCCAGTTTCTCCTACTTTTCTTTTCCAAAACCATGTGTAAAGGATACACAGAAATCTCGACACGGAGGTGCGTTTGTTTGTTTTTAGCTGTGCCTCTGTGGGCTGAGTGACAGTGACCTCAAGGTGGCCCACGGAGAGCTGGCGGGCCTGCAGCTGCTGATGGAAGATGTTCTGAGCAGCTATCACATGACCAGAGAGGGGCCCCCAGGACAGCAGGCACCGGACAGAAACACACAGGTATTCTTGGAGAGCAGCGGCTGCCCACTGCTGTACTGTGCTGGGCACTGTCCTATTTGGGAGATGGATTAGAGAGCTACGGCTTTCCTACAGCCCCTCGGGGGGAGAGGGGGTGTTCCAGGACTGTGCTCATGCCACATGAGAACAACAGTGAAGCAGGGGTAGCCTGCGAAAGCCACGCCAAAGAACTTTCTTTCATAGTAAGTTTCATTTCTTTTAATTTTGAAAATGGACAAATGCTATAAGAGGTCTATTAAGACCAAATGAAACATGCTCCCTCTGATGCTTTCCTTGTGAGTCACACCTGTAGGGCTGAGTTGGAAGGGCCAAAGATGTGTATTAGAAGGCCCAGGTGCACATCTCAGGCTTGGGCTCTCGTCCTCATTGTTCAGCCAGCCTCTGGACTCCAAGGCAAGCACTGCCTCCTCTGGACTCTTCCCTTGCCTGGAATACTATTAACATTACTACTACTATTGCCTGAGAGTTGAGGTTTGTTCAGAGTGCTTTTAATGCATTAATTTATTTAATACTCATAATGATTCCTTGAGGTAGGTACTTGCATTGCCCTATTTTACAAATAAGAATATCAGGACTCAGAAAGGTTTAGTACCATAGCCAAAGTCACACAATTAGTAAGGAAACTCAGATTCCAAGAGTCTGGCCCCAGAGCTCACTCATGCTTTTAACCTCTATGTTGCCCAGTTCCCTGTCCTCTGCCAAGGCAAACCCATACACCTTTATACCTTTGATGGCATTTATATGTGATGACTCCAAAATCTATCTTTCTAGCCTAAACATCAATCCTAGCAGATTCATATGTCCAGGAACCTGCTGGATATCTCTACTGGACATCCCCAGTGTCCTGGGCTGGGCTCATTTTACTCCCCCAAAGCTTGCTCTTCCTCCTGTGTTCCCTGTCAGTTCACCACCACTGCCCAGTTGCTCAAGCCAAACTCTGGGTACAAATTTTTTTTTTTTTTGAGATAGGGTCTCGCTTTGTCACCAAGGCTGGTGTGCAGTGCAGCCTTGAACTCCTGGGCTCAAGTGATCCTCCTGCCTCAGCCTCCTGAGTAGCCAGGACTCCAGGCTCATACCACCATGCCCAGTTATTTTCTTTTCTTCTCTTTTTTGAAGATGGGGTCTTGCTATGTTGCTTGGGCTGGTCTTGAACTCCTAGTTTTGGGATCCTCCCACCTTGGCCTCCCAAAGTGCTGGTAACACAGGTGTGAACCACTGCACTGGGCCCATTTTTGACTTGTCTCTATCACATCTTGTGACTAGACACCAAGTTATACGGTACTATGAGTTTAATATCTCTCAAGTTTGTCTACTTCCTGTCTCCTGCCTCACTAGTCCAACCACCATCATCTCCTATTGCTGGGCTATGATCATAACATCCAGTTGGATTCCATACACTTTTGCCTCCTTCCAATCCACTCAACAGGGTAATATTTTTAAATACAAACTTGATCGTGTCACTTCCCTCCTTATAACCTTTAATGGCTCCCAAATGTCCCGAGAAGTCCAAAGCCTTAACCAGACCTTCATGACCCGGCTCTTGCCAATATCTCTACCCTTAGCTTCTTCCAGTGTGTCCAATGCATCACAGCCTCTTCTGTCCCTTCTCACGGGTGAGTCCTTCTAGTGGGAAACCTTCCTCTCCTCCCTCTTTCTACCTCATTGCCAAGGGTGGAAATATAGGCAGTTAAGGGAAGAATCGTATCTTGATGTGCTTGCATTGCTAGAAATAATGATTTAATAAGCTTAAAACCAATATTCAATTGTTTGTTATTAAGTAGGTTAGAAATTGAATTAAGAAAATGATTGCAGATGATGGGCAAAGGGAACAGAGACAGGAGGGAAGTCAGAGAAAAGCGGGTACACGTTCAGACTACAGCACCCATGCTGAGAAATGCAAAGTCTGCTGCAAGAGGACAGCTTGAAGTCTGGCCCTTGAAGACAAGCAGACTGTCTTGCTGAAACTTCACCCCTCCTCAGTGGACCTGGCCCCAAGGTCTTTGGGCACCCGGAGGCCAGGCTCCTGCAGGTAGGAATGCTCTCGGAGGGAGTGAGCACAGGGGGTTGGTGGTAGGAGAGAAGGCTTAACTGAAATCAGCAAACACTTGATCTCGTAGGAGAGAAAAAGTCTCTCAGGGAGGTGAAGGGAAAGTGCCCCTCTTCTCCCATTTGTCAGTATGGAACGGCACCTGACTGCCCACAAGGCTGCCCAGGGGCTTAATTGCTCATCTTGGGGTTTATGTGCACTGTCTAATTAGGGTTGGCCTTGACATCCTGCACCTGGACTGTGCTCCTGTCCCAGATTTTGTGTTAGGATCAAAAGTAACATAGAGTGATAAAAGTAAGAAGTAAATCAATGCAATTAAGGTACTTAGCTAAAGAAATAGTTTGGTTAGAAATGCAAGCTCAGGCTCAGTGCCTGTGGCTCAAGTGGCTAAGGCGCCAGCCACGTACACCCAAGGTGGCGGGTTCGGATCCAGCCTGGGCCCACCAGACAGTGATGACGGCTGCAACCAAAAAATAGCCGGGGGTTGTGGCAGGCACCTGTGGTTCCAGCTATTTGGGAGGCTGAGGCAGGAGACTCGCTTGAGCCCAGGAGTTGGAGGTTGCTGTGAGCTGAAATGCCACGGCACTCTACCCAGAGGGACAGCTTGAGGCTCTGTCTCAAAAAAAGAAAAAAAGAAATGCAAGCCCAGTAAGAATCATGACATAAGGGTTAAGCCTCCCCCACAACCCCGTAATAAAGAATGGAGCTAGCTCAGAGCTAGGGATTGCCACAGGTCCTCCTGCATGCCGTGGAGGTAGTCAGTACCCTGACCCAGCTCTTTAAAAAAACTTTCTCTTTGTGTCTTTTTTTTTTTTTGAGACAGTCTCACTATGTCGCCTTCAGTAGAGTACCATAGCATCACAGCTCACAACACAGCAACCTCTAACTCTTGGGCTTAAGAGATTCCCTCACCTCAGCCTCCTGAGTAGCTGGGACTACAGGCGTCTCTTTGTATCTTGATCGTTCATTTTCCCCTCGTCCTCCCGTCTCTGCCAGCCACTGGGAGGGGACTCACTGTGTAGTTTGGGGCTGGTGCCCAACACATCACCTGCTTAACTCCCACTTATTCTTTAGATTTCAACTTCCAAACCACTTTCTTTAGGAAGCTTTTCCTGATCTTCCACCTTTGAGCTAACATTCTTCTGTGCCAATTAAAATGCTGCGGCTGCAAGTAACAGGCTGTCCCGCTGGCCATATTTAAATTAGAGAAGTGCATTAAACTTGCATAACAGGAAGTGGAGGAGGAGGCAGTTCAGGCTGGGGCGGCCACTGGCCAATTACCTCAAGGACTCAAGCTCTGTCCTCTGGATGTGTCAGCAAAATGTCTCCCTCATCCTTACGAAATAAAAACAAGAGTGAAAAATCTTTCTCCTTGAGGAAATCTGTCTTGTTATCAAGGAGGGAAATACTTTCTCGAAACCTCCAATAGATTTTCCTTGTGTCTTTTTAGCTAAAACAGTCACAAGGCTACTTTAGCCCAAGCAGCAATGAAAGAAGTGGTCTTCTATGTGCCATTTCCGGTTAGATATTCACCCAGTGGGATTATTTGCAAAGCTGGGTATAGACCAAGTAGTGCCAAGGTTAAGAGACATTTGGGGCCCTTTGGGCCCTCTGTCTGCAGCTTCTCAGCCTTGAATCTGATGGGTTACCATCTTTTCCTGACATTCCATCCCCTCCCTCACCTTGTTCTATCTTTATCCTATCTCCTGTCCCTTCTCCCATCTTTTAAAACACTTGGGTAGAAGAAACTTTCTTAATATGAACATATTAACAAGTTTGCTTCAATATTATTGCTTATATTAACAAGTTCTATGATGTCCCTAGGCCTCAGGCTCCAAAGCTGCAAAGTAAAAGTGACAGATTAGCTCAGGGCCTTGGAAATTGTGGTCCAAGAAGCCCTGGGGTTTCTCAGAGACTCTCTGGTGCTTCTTAAGCAGAAGGTGCCAATTATGTGGCCTCTGGGCTGCCCCTCTTACCAAGTTTGGCCTTGGTCTATCGAATATTTCAGGCCACTGCCCAGTTTTATCTGATGAAAGTGTTCTGAGGATAAAGCCTGGAAACTCATGGGGCAGCCGATTGGTGAGGAGGCAGGCCACGAGGTGGGAGCTCCAGCTGTGTCTGGGGGTTCACACTCCTCTGGGTCTTGCCTCCCAGTTCTTCTGACTAACCGTTTTCCTGGTGGACATGCCTTTCTTCAGACATTTAATAGCACTAAATGGGGATCCAGTTACACCAGTTGTTCCCTGAATGTTCCTGAGGTTCTTCTTATCATAACATCATGCAATTTGCCATCCTGGTCTGCCAAGGAAAGCTCTTTTCTCTGTGACTGAGACTTTGTGGACAGGCTGAGGGCCTGAACTCAGGTCCCCACTCTGCCCATCACTCTCTGAGTGTTTCTGGCCCTCATGTTGCTGGACCAAGGAGTCCGCCCACCTGCCACCCAAGCCAATCAACAGAGAAGCTGATGAGAGATCAACAGTTTCACTTTTATTTACAGAAAAACCAGCAATTCTGGAGAACAGTGAGGGTATCTCCTCAAACAACTGTTCTGTCCCTTCTTCTGCTTTGTTACTTTATATTCTCACAGTAAGCATTAGTACTGATTACTACACATCATCCTGTATAGTAAACAGATTCCTCCTCACGGGTTACAAAGTTACCCGGCATCTTCCTATCTTAAAGTGATGCCATATCTTCAAAGCATTTTTCCTCTAGACTAAATTTATAATTAGTCAACACTTCACTGGGTGCACAGAGCGCCCTGGGTCCTTCACTGGTATCATGGTCCAGTTCCCCAACTTATCCACGGCAGTAGCCTTGGAAGTGAATAAACAATCTCCAGATGTCGGCACGGCACGGGCTCATCAGACCTTGTTAGGCCTGACTAGCAGCGCCTGGTTCACAGTGGCTGGTAACACTCACACTGCTTGCCAGCTGTAGGAGAGCAGGGGCCCGAATCCGTGTAAAAGTTATCCTCTACTGGTCCATGGTCAGTAAAGAGGGATTTCTGTAATGCTTTCAGCCAGATTGGTCCAAAGTGCCAGGATTCAGAGGTCAGTTTCAAAGCAGCCCGAAGACCTCCAAACCGCTGGAGGGCCCACGTGATGCAATGATGTCCCTTGCTTTGCTGAGATCATTTCTGATACTGTGGAAGCAGCTGGAAGTCCTAAAGGAGCACTGGGGTCGACTCAAGCTGCACGGCCAGGACATCAACTCTGCCTCTCTCTACAAACAGTTCTCGGAGCTTTACGAGTGAGTGTCACTGAGACTGAAATTCACATCAGTGATGAGACCCTGGGGTTTGGCAGATCCCTGTCCCTTAATCTGAGGGTGAGCTTTGGTCCCCAAATCCTGGTACACCGGCTCCACTGAGTGTGGGAAACCCAGCAATGTTCTCTATAAACAGTGCTTTATGGGGAAAGCTGTGTTTTATTAACTGAGGACAGAGCAGGATTCTACTGATCTACACTGTGTATCTTTTTCCCTTGAGACAGTCTGACTCTGATGCCTGGGCCAGACTGCTGTGGCCTCAACCTAGCTCACAGCAACCTCAAACTCCTGGGCTCAAGTGATCCTCCTGCCTCAGCCTCCTGAGTAGCTGGGACTACAGGTGCCCACTAAAAGGCCCAGCTAGTTTTTCTATTTTCACTAGAGACAGGCAGGGTCTTGCTCTTGCTAAGGCTGGTCTCAAACTCTTGAGCGTGCATCCTCCCACCTCGGCCTCCTAGAGTGCTAGGATTACAGGTGTGAGCAGCCACCCCTGATCAATACTGTGTGTCTTCTACCTGTTCCTAGAGTCATCCCTAGGAACTTGTGCATATGAGGTGCTCCACATACTGGCTCTGAGCTTTTTAGCTCCTGGGATCCCAGGGAATGCTGAGAGGACAGCTGGTGCTCACTTACTCCTCCTCAGACCCACTGAGTCCCTGAGAGCTCACTACAGCTGCTAGACAGCTAGAGGCATATGTGGTACACGCAGCCCGAGGCCTTAGGTGTGGGGGTACCGTGGGACATTCTAGCAGCCTCAGGCCTTGGCTGGGATGATGTAGCTGGCAGGAAAGACACGTTGCTTCTGTGGTGTGTCTGTTACCAAACAAGGATTTACCAAGCACCCACCCACCTCTTGGACCTCCCTGAACTTAAAAAAGTTCCCTTTGGCCTGGTCAGATGATCTATCTTGTGAACTTATTATAGTCCGTGCTTCTGATGACTAAGGAATGAGAAAACTTGTCAATATTTTGAAGAATGACTGAAATTATATGCACAGGATGGAAAAGGCCTCAGGGTTTCATAGTGACCAAGGGCATGGCAACTGTGGTGCATTGAGATGTTGATGTGTCTGTGGAGGGGGTGGAAGGTTTATACCTGGTAATAGGAAATAGAAAACCAATGCAAATAATTGTCAGAGAATCAGAATAAGAAAAAAATATGTCTGTTTACTAATTTTCGTCTGTCTTCCTTAATAGAACTGACATTCTCTACCCCAGCATGAAAGCTATAGCTAGGCAAATGGGGAAAGAAGATGAATTTGAAAGACTGATCATAAGTAGTCAGTCCGTTCTTCCCCCCAAAGGAGCTTCAGAAATTGTAATAAAAGCTCAGCAGGTATGCGGGAGCATTTTGAATTTGTCTTTGAAAACTTACTTTAGTTAGCATGTAAAGCTACAGGTATACCTAAATGGTGTTTTTTCTAACAAGTTGGGTGTAGATGGAAGGGCTGTCCATCACTGGAACAGACTGGAGGGAGGGAAGGACTAAGGATTGAAAGGTGTGTCGGTCTTTGATTAAACAAATAACTGCCCCTGTGCATCTCAGTTCTCTAAGTCTAGATTTTTATTACCTTGATTTTCCTCTCATTGAGCATACCTTCACAAGGAAAATAATGGAAAATGTAACCACTACTATCCTAAACATAAACCTAGCATACAGTTATCTACAAGAAAATGAAATATTTTTAAAAGCGCCATACGATTTCTTTTCTAAGAATAAAAAAATGCATTTTATGCACATTTGGTGGGTTTGAGATGATCAGTGTAGAGAGAAGTTGTTTTCCCAAGTCTTTGTGCAGCCTGGTCCGGGGCCTGGGCTCTGCACGGTTGGGCTTACTGTAGGGGCCAAGCCTCCAGCCCTTTGGTTGGCTGTGCAGAGACGCATGTCCCCTGAGCTACAGGAGCCCCCACCGCCGTGGGGAATTGCCACGCCCACTGGTTACTCTTCTGAACCCTGCTTCCTCTCCAACACCTGGGGTCCTTCTGCAGAGAGATACCTGGGCTCCCCAAACATGGCGGCTAGAGGGAGGATGGTCAAGTTTCAGACCTGACAGCTTCTCTTATAAAGACACCTCACCAAATCCTGGCCTCATTTAGAGACTCCCAAATATAGGAGGTCATCTCAGGCATTAAACATTTTTAAGTTTAGTAGAACTTGGTGGAAAAAAAAAGGTTGTATTTTATGAAACAGGATAGGGGCCAGGAAGAAGAGATGTTGGTCTCCAGAGAGGCTTGTCTACCCTTGGGGAACACTTGGGAGCCCTAGAGCAGAAGGCCCTTCTTCTGGGGAGAGAGGAGGACTTAGCCCAAAGGCCTTCTGCAGGAATTTAACTTAGGAGCACAGAGCGTGAGCAGAATGTGAAGAGTGACCCTTGACCTATGTTTACTCTAGCTTCAGAAGATTCTGGAAAATTTTGAAATTCATATGATCCAGGAGGTACTAAGAAAAGTTAACAGAGACATCTCACTGGTTTTATCAGAAAAGTCCGAGGAGGAGGGTTCTCTCCCTACAGGTAAAGGGCATTTATTTTGTAATTTCACAAAATAACATCTACTGGTTTTTCCTAATTATAAGAGCAATTGTTGTATCCACATTCATTGAAAACAAAACGAAACACCATGGCGATGATCAGAAAGTGATATATAGAGTACCGTTAACACCTCGACCTAGAGAAAAATGTTATTAACACTTCATATTTATTGTATATTTCATTGTGCTTAAAAGGCTTAAAGCATATTTTAATTTCAGTCTCAACTCTCCTGATTAGGTTGGAACTGAAATAAAGTTGAAATGAGAGAAACACATAAAGTCTTATTTTTAATATATGTAAGTGTATATGTGTGGCAAAATCTTACAAATATTATTCAGGGCAGCAAGGCAATCAAAATTGTTTTCTTTCATCTTAGATCTAAACTCAGGGCCAGAGGGGCACTTGGGGTTTTAGTTCTGTGCTCACCATCTTGAAACTCTTAATAATTTTAATTTGGCAGGTGCAATGGTTCACACTTGTAATTGTAGCACTCTGGGAAGCAGAGGTGGGTGGATTACTTGCTCTCAGGAGTTTAAGACCAGCCTGAGCAGGAGCAAAACCTCATCTCTACTAAAAATAGCCAGGTACTGTGGTGGGCAGCTGCAATCCCAGCTACTCAGGAGGCAAGAGGAACTCTTGAGCCCAAGAGTTTGAGGTTGCTGTGAGCTATGACACCCAGGCACTCTACCCAGGGTAGAAATAATAATAATAATAATAATAATAATAATAATTTTAATTTGGAATTTGTGCTTTATAGGTGAGCTCCAGTGAGTCAATGGAGCACACTCCCAGGGCTTGGAGCCTTGACTCACACACAGTCTCACCTCCTGCTGCCTCCCAGCGTCCCCAGGAAGGCTTCTCAGCTACTCGTTCCTCTGTTCTCTGGCTTCCTAGGTGTCCCTAACCTCTTCCTCCCAGACCCACACAGCAATCACTGCCACCCTCCACCTGCAGTGGGAACTGGGGAACAGACATGGGCACCTGGCCATGTGTCAGGAACCCCAGGTTGGCAGCACCATGGTGTGTGCAACAGGAGACTCGTTGGGGGCAAGTCCCCTCCCTAACCATCCCCGGGTGCACAGAATATCCCAGGACAGAGGGTGCAATACCCTATAGTGGATTGGTGCAATGGGCCTGTGGAAAGGGCCACCTGTCTCAACTTCTTCACCCCTGGGCAGGCACGGGGCCTGGGTCTGCTAGCAGTGGGTCATGCACACTCATGCACTGAGTCACGGGGTGGGTAGGGCGCCATTGCTTACGAGGGTCTCAGTTCCCTGGCCCAGGTGAGTGCAACATTAAAGGCAAATACAACTCTATGACAGGTCAACAGAGAAACTGCAGAAGAAAAAGGTTTATATTTTTGTACGTGTAGCAGGCCTTTTTCCTGCTGGTTTGAACAAGAGGTCTTAAATCTTTATTTTGCACGAGGCCCCACAAATTATGTAGCCAGTCCCTTGGCACTTCAGCGTCTGTTCTTAACACTTAATAATTCTGTAGGAAATTCCATAACCTTTGAGCCAGGGGAGAATTGTGTGAATAATAAACCAGGCTTTCCTTTTGAGACAAAGTCTGTGGACATTGTAATGTTAATTAATAACCTCTGTCTTCACCTGAGTCATTGTCATTTTATCAGTAACTGGTCTGACAGCTGGGCTTTGAGAAAAGGCTGTGCTGTGGAAGGGTGAGCCTGTCCCCGGCTGGGTGTGTCTAATGTCACCGGAGAGCTGAGTGGGATTGAGCTCTGGTTACAAAACATTTAATAAGACACAAAGCACCTGTTGTTTGTGCTGTGTTTGCCGCATCCAGGCAGCTCCCTTCTGAGTCCTTGGACAAAATCCACAAGCACGCAGCAGGTGTGACCATCTGCACATTTTGGGCTGTGGTTCTCCTGTGACGCCAGGGTGAGGGGTTGGGGGAAGCATCTTCGCTTTGTAGCTGTGCTGCCTTGTGCAGGGCACTTGTCAGCTGTGCCTGGGAGGGGCCTTGAATACGGGGGCCAGTGGGAGGGGGGGTCAAGCCAAGGGAGGGGTGGAGTTATTTTTACCACGTTTGATGGTAAGGTTATTATCAAACCTGACTTTGGCTTGAGTCTGCTGGCCAATTCTAATCCAAATCTCGTTTGGATTCTATACTTATGAAACTTTAAAAATAAATGCCAATACTGAGCAGGGTTTTGTTGCTGTTTTCCGATTTTGTTTTGGTTTGTTCTTTGGTCTGTCCGGCATGACTCAATATGCAGGGCTGGGCTCCCCTACTTAGTGTCCTAGCCCAAGTGACCCACTCCCTACCTTGTGCCCAGGACACTTCTGTGTACATGTCTTCAGTGTCATCTTCTAGAGACCTCTGTGGGCTGAGTAGCTTTGTTTTGTTTTGTTTTTTGTTTTTTTTTTGAGACAGAGCCTCAAGCTGTCACCCTGGGTAGAATGCCATGGCATCACAACTCACAGCAACCTCCAACTCCTGGGGTCAAGCGAGTCTCCTGCCTCATCCTCCCAAGTAGCTGGGACCACAGGCACCCGCCACAACACCTGGCTATTTTTTGGTTGCAGCTGTCGTTGTTTTGGCGGGACCAGGCTGGATTCGAACCTGCCACCTTAGGTGTATATGGCTGGCGCCTTAGCCACTTGAGCCACAGGCACCAAGCTGGCTGGGTAGCTTTGGAGAAGGCAATCAAACCTTGGAATCTTCACCCACCTACGTATATCTCAGAAGGAGTCACATTGGACGGGGCTTCTAAGCAGCGGCTGCTTCTTCATGTAGAGATCTCCTTTTGTGGTCAAGGTTGTTAGCTTGGGGCTGGGCTTGCTTAGCAATATCAGCAGAGGGAGTTAGAGACGGAGAGTACTGAGAACCAGGGGGACAGTAAGGCTCTTCGTCCTTTCTTTCTGGGGTCTCCCCTTTCTCTGCTGGCCCACTCTGGTGTCTGTATTTTCACCTGCCCAAAAAGAGCCCCATATACCGAGGGTGGAGGGTTCAAACCCGGCCCTGCCCAAACTGCAACAA